CTTATAAATATCTTAAGTTTCTTTATTTTATTAATTTCATCTTGCAGAAAAAAACTATAAGTGGGAAAATTACAAAAATTCAGAAAGTAAAACTTCTGGATTTAATGAAAAACAACAAGAAGGTGGCAACGGGAAATTTTGGCGGTCCAAATAGCGCCTCGCACAACCGCAATGTGTGGGAAGCCGTTGCTGTGGAGCTTAACGCAGCTGAAGGAGCTTGCAAAACAGCCGAGGAGTGGAAAAAAGTATATATATGAGTGCTTTTTAAAAAAGGTTTGATGAAGTAATAATATATATTTTTTGTAGAGTTGGGCCGACTGGAAGTGCGCAGTAAAAAAACAGCAGGCAGAAATTAAAAGGTTTCAAAACCGAACCGGCAATTTGCCTGCGAGCGGAGGACCTGCACCGCTGGAAGAAATTGAGCCGCAAGGTCGTGGGTTCGAGTCCCACGGCCAGTATGCTTTTTTTTATTTCTTTTTTCATTCTTTTTTTATAAGTTCTATATTTTTTTTACGTTACTTTCAGTTAGTTGTTGTTGAATTTTTAACAAAATTCATCTCTAAAAATTAAAATTAACTAATAGTAAAATAAGAAATGTGATATAAAATAAAGCAAATGAAAATAAAATAAAGTAAAATTAAATATATAAATAAAATAAAATAAAAATATATAAAATAAATAATAAAAACAAAAAATTTTTCGCAATCGCTCCAACCGAGTATCGAACCTGGCAGCTACAGGCTTGTAGCTCGCAACTCTCACCACTCGGCTACCGTGTACGCGAAACTCGGCGGCTTCGTTTGCTTACTTGTACAAAAGACAAGAACTGGCCGTTTTTACCAGTATTGTCATCGAAAATTCCCCGGATCCGAGTTAATTCCCAAAAATTTCGTGCATTTGTTCGGCTGCTTATGCTCATTTTAAAGAGGAAAATGCACGAGTTAAAGCAAATTAAGGCTAGTTATGCAAATAATCGAGCCCGTTTGTCTACCGTATAAGACACGGATTACACAAGGATTAGGGGAATTTTTTATTGTTCAGTAGTAAGGTTTTTTGGTTATGAATTGGGTCTTTATTGCAGAGGACCATCGATATGTTTATCAAAAGGTAGTTTCTACTTATAAATAATGGTTATAGTTGCAAGCAGGAGAAGTCAATGAGGAGGACGAAGAAAACGAGGTAAAGTCTTTAATAGACTCTCCAAATGGGGCTTCTTATCATAAGCCATCGACCTCACGAGCCAAAAATAATGCATTCAGCAGCTCCTTTGCTGAAATTAAACAATATATTAAGGAGCAGGATGAAAAAAATGGAATTTAATGAAAAGCAAACAAAATTATTAACCGATATTTTGCAAAGACTTAAGTCAATCGATGAATCATTGAAACCAGCTGTTTTGAATAATTAATGAATGTATTTGTTATTATAAATGTACCCCAGCGACCAAAAGTGAGTGCATGGTGATTTGTGTTAAATATTTGTAATGTTTTTATAGCTAGATTTTTTTTTGTTATTTATTATAAAAATGTTCATGCTTTAAACAAAACCCCATCAGTCAAACTGACAAACTTTATGCAGAATTTAGGAAATGTCAACAATTTTTCATCAAAATTTTTAACTTTTTAATCTAACTTTTTCAAAAACCTTTGGGTATCTAGGTACATCGGCTATGAAATTCTAGTAAAACAAGTGGAAGTTCTTATTGACCAAAAATCGCGCTGATTTAAAATATTTTCTTCTTCAGACTGCGTTTTGCGCTTTTGACAGATGTTCCATTGAAAATTACGTCAAAAAGCTGCAACTAACTTTACAGTCTTTATGTATATCTATAAATTATTTTGTACTTTTCAGTTGTTATTGTAATAACAGCGTGTTTTTAGTTATTTTAAACTATAATTTTATTTTCATATAACAAGCGCATGTTATACAAATTAGCATTGAGTATCTAATTTTTTTTTACAAACGGTCTTGCGCATTTTATTAAACAAGAAATTCACGTTTCTAGTCAATAAGAACTTCCACTTGTTTTACTAGAATTTCATAGCCGATGTACCTAAATACCCAAATTTTTTTGAAAAAGTTAGATTAAAAACAGTACAAATATTTAACACAAATCACCATGCACTCACTTTTGGTCGCCAGTGTATATAAAGGGTTTTCAATAAGCGCGGGTAGTTGTTGATGAGGAATCAACAAGCCGCCAGCATCTACCCGCTCTAATTGGAAACCCCTTTTGCATTTTGTATCATAATATGTACTTAATACTAGCAAATACCGGCCTCACTTCGTTGCGACCAATTATAGCTAAAATGTCTTAAATAAAGGCGTACGTTTAACTAAAAGTCTCTTTTATAATTTCTCGTATCCATTTAACAAAGTACATACATACATAAATTCGCACACAGATTGAAACTTGGATTTATATGGTTTTTGTTAAAGAATATACTATATTTTTATAAA